ATCAGATCATACAGGTCAGGGAAAACATTCTGATCACCTGCCAAAGCAACCCTGACCCTGAAGGTGTACTGTACATTCTCAAAGCAAAATGTTATCTGTCGATGCTTTTAGTCAGGTTTGTGCAACCAGGAATCGAACTCAGCCCCTCTTTCGTCAACAGTTACCTTCTAGAACAGTTGCTGACAATTAACCGTGTGCGTCATCACCTCAAAGCTCCCATGATTCCCTGGAACTCAATGAACCCGACATCAAAGACTGGACCTCAGTGCGTGTCCAGCTTGTGCTGAAGCAGAAAGGTATTCCACTGAGCAACAAATCAACCTTTGCACCCCATCAAATACATAAACAAACTCCTACCTTCCTGTTGTTCCATGACATATTCTCCATGTCATGTCCTTCATTGTACTCTTCATGCTCATACTTTCACTCAGAACCAACTTTATCCCCACGTTCTGCACAAAGCCTACACCCTTTCTAGTTAGACTTTTTTTTATTTATTTCATAAGCAAAGCTGCCAACTTTCCTAAGACCCACTTCCTTCAACAGTCTCTCCAGGGCCATGTCCCAGAGATGGAAATTTGTTATTCATTTCAAATTCAATTTAAAAATACTTCATTGATCCCAAAGGGATATGAAATGCAGTCAAAACTCTTATCATTCATGTATTTTCAGAGACACTATAGTTAGTTATGAAATGAAGATTATTTAAAGACTTTTTATTTGATTTTATTCTAATTTTTATATGCTTCCCCCACCATGTTTCATGGAGTGGTTTCTAATTTTTTCTGTGTTGCTTTTTTGTGACAAATATATTTTGGAAATAGCCCAAAGGTTCAACCTTGATTTCTTTAGAACATCAGGTTTTGGGAGGTTTTATTCAGGTATTTATTGCAGAAAAACAGGATTGTGTTTTGCAACCTCACTAATTAGGCCAGACATGTGGAGTCTACAGGAGATTGTTGTCACATGCTTTTATATTTTCCCTGGAACTCCTTTGTTTGTTTTTATGTTTTAATTGCACATGATAAAAGATGGAAGATGCTTTGAAATTATTCTTTGTGGTTTAATTTTCCACATCCTAATGACTGGACAGAGGAGAACATGTTTACTGTTCACACTGTCTGCAAATATCCACTGGGGAGGAAACATGCAGTTTTCTATCAAATCTCTGGTTTGTAAAGAAGGACAGACACACAACAGAGCCTGACCTTTGGCCTCACAGTCCCTGAAGGTGACAGAAGCTTCGTATTTGGTCATGAGGCCTCCTCCACATGGGAAGCACAGAACCCGACCTGGTTCTGGCTGGTAGGAGCCCAGAGGACAGAGCTGGCAGGGCCGGAAGCCGTCAGTGGAAAACTGTCCGGCGGGACACTGACCTGTCAGGCAGACAAAACAAAACAAAACCCTGTTTTACAGTCAGTCTTCCTGATTGGAAGTTGGGATGGATCTGGAAATTTTTCAAACCACCGGGTGTCACACTTGAGCAGCACCAAGTTAAACAGCTGGAGCAGGAGCCAGGAACCTGCGGCTCCGGGGCCACATGTCATGCTTTAGACCCTGTAGTGTGGCTCTTAGTAACTTTGTAAAAAAAAAGAAAAAAAGTACGTTCTCTATAAAAACGAATATCTAATTGAAGAAAAACATATTAAACCTAAAAACAAAATTGTTGGTTTATTTAATTTACAAATTAAATCAAATTTCCTGTAGATGTTATAACAGGAAACATCTATAAGAATATTTCGATTTAAAGAGACATGTTGCTTTGAGGCTCTCTACAAATACTGGAATAAATGGTTCTTATGGTTGCAAAGGATGCCGGCAACTGAAGTAGAGCAATACCTGGATGTTAAACATCTAGTTGCCTGATTGTAGTTTATTCTCTTCAGTTCAGTTTATTTATGTTGTACAAAATAGAAAAAATGATCTCCTGGCACATAAAGTACTTTGTGGAAGTACTCAAACCCCTTGAGCCTTTTCAGATATTAAAACGTTATGGGGGACCAAAATTGCAACATTGATTCCATTTTCAGCTGCTGTGGCTTCACACTGAATTGTGTCAAACAAACCAAACCCTTCAAAAAGCCTGTTCCCCTCCTCGCCTGTGGGGGCGCTGCAGGAAAAAAAAAACCCTGAAGGAAACTATGCAAAAATCTTCAGGAAATGGAAACAAAAATGGAGTGGTGTCAGACTTTAGCAGTTGTAGGATTTCTCTTTTTTTTTGTCCTGCTAGAACTGACTCAAGTTTATTTGGATTGTGTTTACCCAGAATTCCCTGCTCTATAGTTTGCCTCCTCCTTTTGATCTGCTTAGTGTTCACATATGCATTCAAACAGCATCAGAGTTCACTTCAACCTAACTGAGACCGAGGTTTGATTACACATTCACATCTCCGTAAATGACACTAAGCAAACTAGAGTTTGACTGAAGTGGACTGAACAGACCTGTTGGGAATGCACCTTGTGTTATAAATCATCATTTCTCCTGTTTCCATAGAAATAAGACTGGATCTAATGAAAATGTTGTCAAGACGATGAGGTTACCTCCACACTGAGACACGTTCTTGGCACCGGCGATGCCCTGTCCTTCAGTGCTGGGACATGGCTCACAGGACAGCTGTCCCTCCATGTCCTGGTACGTTCCAGGAGGACACTGAACACACTGCTCCTGCTCACCACTGTAAAATGTCCCTGCACCACAACTTACTGTGGATGAAAAGCACACCGGTTTAATTCTCACCAAGCCAAAGCAATGTCAAGACAGCTCCATGAAGTCCAGACCCACCACACTTCCCGTCCTGGAAGACCTGACCAGTGCTGCAGGTATCGGCTCCCTCTGGGATCCTGGACGGTTTCTGGGCCACTTCATACTCGGTTCCAGAGAACTGGATGTAGAACTGCTGCTTGTTAATGGACTTCCTCAGTGCCCGCATGGCAACCTGGAGCTTCTGCCTCATCTTTTCCCGCACACAGTCGATGTTACACGAGTCTGAGGTAAAAACGTTCAATGTAAGCGTGTCTTGAGCCTCTGCTGTATGTTTACAGTTTAATTCTGGCAGATTGTGAGAGAACTAAAAGAGACAACAGCACCTGAGGCTTCCTCCTCCTTCATCTCCATCTCAAACTCCGCTGTGATGAGGGAAACCTCTTTGGACGGGGACTTGCGTCCTCTGCGCCGCTTCTTTGATGAGTCACACTTGAGGTTGACGAACGTTACCTGGCAGTCATCGGTGCAGGGGAACTGCCCTCCTGTCAGAGTGAAAGCAGAAATCATGAGGATGAAAGTCGACTCTGATGAGATTTCAGCAACAGCGCACATGAAAGTGAGCAGAGATGTTCTTTACCTTGAATGTTCTGCCTGGAGGAGTCCTTGTATTTCTCCTTGCTGCGTGGGCTCAGGTGACACTTGGCGTCTTTAATCTTAAACTTGGCCTTCTGCTTAATGGGCGGGGCCAGCGGATCTGCGTTCATCCACATCAAAAATAAACACAAAGAATGCTTAATGTCAGACCTGTGAAGACTTCCTATCAAAGGATTTGTGATCAGCGCAGATACATTTGTGCACAATCAGAGAATGATCATTATTTCTGATGAGATTGAGTTTCTTTTCCACTTTTTGGGGAGTGGTTCCTGAAGGTGAGATCAGGGACCATCTGACCCAACTCTGGGTCATGAAGAATGGCTGCTTCATATGATCTTCAGCAATCAAATTTGATTTAAAAACCATCAACAATGGCACATTTATTGCTACAAAGTTTTAAAAAGTTGACTGCTAATTATTAACAAGAACTGGGTGTACAAACTAGGTTTTCTTTGCCTTCTGCCAAATTTGCAAAGTTCCAAACTATACAGAACAGAGTGGAACACAAAGCGTGACTCAATGACCAGAATAACGGTCTACTGGAGAGTGGTGAATTTGATTGCAGCTTCAACATTTGTTGTCTGTAAGCCATGTTGTAGCTGAATTAGCAGTTTGCTTGAGGTCCATTTGGATGACACAGTTCTGTTTTTGATTGCTTCCATGCTCATACAGTAGAGACAGGCACTCAACTTATCCAGCAGGATGGATCTTCACACACAGTTTTGTCACAGCCCTGTCTAAGGTTGAAGTATTATTAAAGATGTGTGTTATACAATATTCAGACACTCAAAAAAATAAGAGTTCAAGTACACTATTAAAAGGGATTTGGGTCAGGGGTTAGATGCCAATTGATTAGGGTTGTGCTGATAAATCGGCCCCGATTTCCTTTAGTTTGGGACATTAGCGATCAGCCGATACTTAGGTGTGAAATCAAACTTATCTACTTCCGCAAAGGTCTAAATATCAAACGCTATCCTTTTTTTCTCCGGCAGACTGACAGACCTGCCCACCAGGTTACGTCTGAATGTGTGCGGTTAACTACAGTCACCCCACTGTGGCTAACTCTGCTACATTTTTCAGACCAAATGTAAAAAGAATCGGTATTGGCCAAAATCAGAATGGACAGGTCTGACTTTTTAAGGATCAGCGATAGACCATAAAACTGCAATCGCTGCATCCCTACACTAGTCATACCGTCTCCATGGAAATAAAACACATTTACACAACCACTGCTGATAGTGCAGGTCTAAAAAACTATGACCAAATCAGAGCACACCTTCTGACTGCCTAATCTGGTTCTGCTGACAAATATTATTCATAAGGAGAGAAACCACCGGTGCAGCACCATGCCACCACCACCACAGCACAGATCAGCCGTGGTGGTGGCAGCATCATGCTGTGGGGATGCTTTTCTTCAGCAGGGACAAGGAAGCTGATCAGAGTCGTTGGAGTATAGAGATGATTACAAGGCAGTAATTCAAGATATTGAGGTTTGTGGTCATAATGTGAAATACTTTCACAAAACACTTTAGGACCTTGATTTAATGTAACAGTACAACATGTTTAGGAGCATTACCAGGCTGGATGGGAACTCCGCAGCTTAATGTGTAGTTCTCTGAGTCTGCAAGGAAGAAACACAAACGTTAGATTTTAGTTAAAGAAAGAGGAATGATCATGATGAGAGTTTAGGGTTTACGTAATGTTAGGGGGTGATTGGTGGTGTTAAAACAAGTTTCATCCCTAATTTGTGCAAAAACAGACAGAGAGCCCAAAGGCTGACATGTTTCCATCTGACCTTAATCTTGATTGTGAAATGAAAGCTGAAAATAAAAGAGTTATTAATGACGTCTCCCTCCTCCAGTGCACAGGAACACATACGTACTCATTTCAAGAAGGAAACGACAGATTGAAGCCTTCGAAAATCATAAAAGCAAGCAGAATAAACAAGAGTCCAGCCTCTGTTAAGCCACAAGTATTTTACCTGGCTTTCACCTCCGTGATATTAAAACGGACTCCAAAAAACAAACACTTCACTTCACGCCTCGGAGCCATCTATCATTCTCACACTGTGGCTGCCAAGTCAAACCCAGCGAGGGCCACATTACGGAACGCCACCATCAAAGTATGTAATCAATTTGCAGATGTGTTAAGCGCTATCGCAGGAGAAGAGCCTGAGGTGTTAGCCAGAGCGCTGGGATGGCTGGGGCCGACAGAACCCCATCCTGAGTGAATAACACATGAGTCTGAGCAGAGAGCTGGACCTGGAGCCCAGAAACACAGCTAGAAAATCTGCAGCGGTCAGCTGATGCCACCAGAGGGCAGCACTCAATGACAAACCTGTAGATGCCTTGATTAAAAATGTGAAAGAGGATTTCTATTAGATTTTCATACAAACATAACCTTATTAAATACAAAATGCAGTTTTCAAATGATCATTTAATTTATTAAAGGAACAGATAACCACTGAGTGAAAAATAGTCCAACAAGTCCAGGACTGGCCGTCCAGTCAGAGCAGGCTGCAAGATGCTAAACAAAGTCTACAAAACCATCACCACAGACTTTTCTGCTGTCATATCAACTGGAGCAAGAGCCTGTTGATGATATGACAGAGCAAGTCTGTACAATCAGAAAGTTTAAAGGGCCGGTATTGTGTTTTTTCCAGGCACATTGTGCTGTTTTATACCACAATCTACTAAAAAAATGCAATAAAAAATGCTCTATAAAATATGATTTAGAAGAAACTTGACTTCCCTATTTGACTTCTTAAAATTGTCTCTTTAAGAAACTCCTGCTCTTTCTGACACTCCGCCTTCATCACAACAATGCTTTCTTTTCATGAACATCCGTATCGTTTTTACGACTGGGAGGCTCTGATTAGCATCTCAAAAGCTCATATAATAGCTGAACTCTGACCCCAAACCCCGGAGGAGTTGAAAAGGAGGAAGTTCAAACCGTCTCTTCCATTGATCATAATGGGAAAGGGTCGGAGCTCTGACTCCAACGTCTCCCGCCACAACTCTTTGAAGATACTTGAATCATATGAGTTACAACAATGTTTAATTTCCCTTTAGGATAAATAAATTACATTTAAACTGAATTTGAAAGGACAGCAACATAAATCCACTTGTTAACACATTCACAATTTTGCCAGAATAAACAGGACACAAGAAAACTGGTGCTTACTTCAGAGCTACTTTAAGTAGCTCAGATTATTTCAGAAGCAGGCAGCTGCTGCTCATCCAAAAAAATGCTGCAGCAAAGTCCTTATAACACTGCTCTGGCTGCGTTTTTAAGGAGATTGACTTTAAATTCTTGTTCAGTGTCAGTCTACAAGTGTTTCCTAAACGTTACTAATCTTTCAATGTTTCATCATAATTCTCTGTTCTCTCTGGTCCTCAATGATTGTGATTTACAGTAGGCTGGAGCGACGGAAACTCTACCTGCGAGGAAGAGAGCGTTGGAGGGACAGGAGAGCGAGCAGACCTCTGCACCTCCGCTCTTAGTGCAGACTAGCTGGGCTCGCGGAGCAGGCTTTCCATTGGGTAGACACTTCACAGCCTCTGAGGAGCACACCAAACCACATCACACACCGGCAACGTCCAAACATGGAGGCCGGAGGTAGAGGCGTGGACGGGCTGGAGCCGGAGCTTACCGATGCAGTCCTTCTTGTTCCAGTGGAGCTTCTGTCCCGGCGGACACACACACTCAAAGCTGCCCTGTGTGTTTATGCAGCTGTACTCGCAGCTGCCGTTGTTGATGCTGCACTCATCGACGTCTAATGCAGGAAAACAGAGAGAAATCTGTGTTTTTACTGGTCAGAGATACAGGTCAACGACGTCTCTGCATGGATACACACCTCCACAGTGTGTGAGGCCGTAGAGGATGTAGCCCTTGTTGCACAGGCACTCAAAGCTGCCGGGGTAGTTGATGCAGGTGTGGTCGCAGGTCCTCTCAAAGGAGCACTCATCGATGTCTGAGGGAGGCCACACACACAAACAGCAAAAGTTTTCACACTCCTTGAACCTTTTCACATTTTGAAATCTGTAAAGCGACACATGGTGTTTGAAATGTTTTACAAACAATAAAAAGTGTGGCGTGTGTTTGGTTCCCCTGATTGAATCCTTTGCACAACCGGCCTCTGTTGGATGTACGAAGGACACAACAGTTTCATTCAAAATCAACTAAATGTCGTTATTAATAAATAATCCATCAAATGAAAAAAAAAAATGTCTCCATGAAATAAAAACGTCCTTCCTGCCTACAGTCAGTTTAGGTGATTTATGAAGGCAGCTGGGTACAGCTCATTTTATTTAGGGATATCAGATTGAAGGGGACTAAATACAAAAGCACACCACACTTCTTGGCTCTACATGTGAAATATTTTAAAACTATTTATGATTTTCTTTCCACCTCACAATTCTGTGGGTTTTTTTGTGTGGGTCCATCATAAAATACTGATTGTTTTTCCATGAACTGTGTGTGTTCTAGTGAAACGAGATGCAAAGGCAAAATTATAACAACTGACATTAGATTTGATCAAACATTTTACATGAGGGCCAAAACTGACGAGATGAAAGCAAAGAGCTGAGCGGGAAAATTCATTAATTCTATAAATAATTAATTACAAGAGGGATCTGTAAATCACTGTAGATCAAAAGAGGTTATTATTAAAAGAGATTACAGTTTCCTATCTTTTTAGTTGATTTTGGGCTAGAATATGTTTCTCTGGAGGCATTAAGTTATAAGTGCTTGTTCTTGCAGTAAACAAATTCAGTTCAAGGAGAAACTCCTTAAACTTAAAGAATCTTTTTTTTGTCACGCAGGATGTAAAATTACGGTCCTCTGACTATGACTTGTTAAAAAGGTACAAAGTTCCTTGCTGTGACTCTTCTTCTCAGCCTGTTTCCTCTAGATGGCCTCTGAAAATCCTAAGCATATGTTTTACTGTTATGACCTTTTTTGTTTAAAAGAGAAGATATTTTGTTTTTAATGAGACATATATCTCATTAAAAACAGTTTTAAAATCTTGCTAAAATGACAAAACGTAAAATTTTTTGCAATTTCGTCATAACAAGAACATTTTCTCTTTATTTTCAAGTGCTGGCAGGTAGATGCTTCCATATAGAGTCCTGAACAAAACACAAGTCGTAATGTTCTCCAAAAAAGGCAGGAATATTCTGCTTCATTGGAATTCAGGACACAATAAAATCCAAACTTATCCAGGGATCAGCTCAAAGCAAATACCATGAAAGTGTAAGAACTCAACTCGTTATAATAAATGAATAAACGTGAAATCTCAGTGGGATACAGTGTTGTCAGTAAACATGTTAATCTAACATGTTCTAATGGAGTCTGTAACTCAGAGGAAGTTGGTCTGGATCCTGGATGTTTGCTCTGCAAACAGTGAGGACATCGGAACGGTTCGCCCGTGTGGTCGCAGCCAGTCGGAGCAGAACAGTTTGCATAAACAGAAAAGGCACACAGTAGTTCCTAACATTCGTACAGTCGTCCTCAAAAGAAAGTACACCTTTCATTTAGAAGGTTTTTACATATCAAGAAATAAACAAACATGATCTGGTCACAACCATTCAACAGACACGCTGCCATCGCTGAGCAAAGGTGAAGCCAAAATGGAGAAACTGTGTGTGAACAGCTAATGCTGGGTTCACACCGCAAAATTGCTGGACGATTTTCCAACCCGAGACCCGACAATCAAAATCTACCGAATAACAGGTTTGGCTGCACAGTGTGACGTCTGCTCTTCAAAGACATTTCAAAGAAAGACCTTGCAAACATTTCTTTTTATAGAAACACAGCAGTTAGGAATTAGTTTTTTTTTCCGACAAAGATTTGCGAACATTTGTAATGGAAATGCGGCTATTGTTGGTCGACTTGAAATCTGTTGAACATTTCTGGTGGGGTTTGAAAAAAGCGGCTGCAGCACAAAAACCCAACAAGAGCTGGAGGCCTTTGGCTATGAGGGGGAGGGGCTAAGATTCAGGAACTCTGCAGGCTTGGTAGATCCAGAGGACTAAAAATGCTCATCATAAAGCGGTTAAATAATTTGGCGACTTCAATAGTCACTAAAGGTGTCACGTTACATTTAACCTCCCTTGGTGTTAGCTTGTTGCTCAGGAGGATCATGGCAAATGTCACGGTCGGACAGAGGATTGGCAGGGACATTGTCCTATCAAAACGTCAGTTTCCTAAACCACAAATAAAACCTTGTAAAGATGCACACAGGGTCAGTGCAACCCTGTCAGGCTGCACACAGAGTAGAAATCTGGTGGGGTCCAAATGACCCTACCTCTTAACAACGCGGAAGGCTTAAATTGTTCCTGTTTGATTGAGTCACTGCAATCATCTGTCAGTTTGCATATTTTGCCAGTAAAGTTTTTTTTCACAGTTGGGGTTGAATCATTTTGGCTCCAGATGTCTGTGGATGGGAAAAACCTGGCAGCTATTGGCAGTGCGGCGCATTGGCAGAGGTGTGCTTCTGCTAGCAACGCCATATCAGAGCGACGCTGTGATGTGGCTGACACCACTCAACACCACATACTTAAATACTTCAAATACGCAACCAACGAAGCCCGGCTAACCCAACGCATACACACACCGCTGTTTGTCTCAGAGTGTTTGTTTTGGGCGGAGCGTAGAAGAACCTTAGGGTTTTGGTGTTAGGAAAAATCAGTTTGTTTGTCTGATCTGCCTCGCTTGCTGTGACTTGTAAGCAGGAATTTGCCTTTGGTCATGCAAACTTAGTGTGTTCAGAAAGCTTCCAAAGACACAACACACACCCAGAGAGGGAACTCGCAGACGCATTAACAGCAGCTTGACCTTCCCCTACTGAAGCAGTAACTCTGCTCTGATTACATCAAACAATGCAGACAGTCACATTTTCACAAATAAGATCATAAATTCCTACAAAACATTTACAAGCTGTATAGAAGACCAGAATAAACTTTACTTAGAATGTCAGCCAAAATGTCATTCTGAACTAAACAGATTATTAACAAAATAATAATAATAATAATAAAAACAACAATAAAAAAGAAAGAGTTGTCTGCTAACCTTTGCATGTCCGTTCATCAGTGAGAAGTTTGTATCCTTTCTGGCAGCTGCACTCGAAGGAACCCACCGTGTTTCGGCAAAAGTGATCACAGCCTCCATTGTTCTCCTCGCATTCGTCGATATCTGAGTTGATTCAGTCAGATAATTAGGGACATATGAAAAAAGTCACAAAAGCTCACACAAGAACACCATTACTGGAGCACCGCAGGGCTGTGTACTCCATCCTATACATAAAGGGTTTCCCCATCAAGGATTAACGGTCAACAAGTAGAGCGTATTTAGGATTTGAAACAGATAATAAACTATAAAAAAGAGAGGATGCTCTTTCTTAGGAAACTCAAAAATGTTAGATAAGGCAGTAGATTCTCCAATTATTTTCCAAACCTCTTCTACAGACTGTTTTATCTTTAGAGATTATCTTTGCTTTGGGAAATATGATTATAAAAAATTACAGCACATTATTAAATTAGATCAAGTTCAAGTCTCATTAAACAATACGAACATTTACATGTAAATACATAAGATAGCCTGGTAGGTCATTTCCATCTCTAATCCTGTTGGTAGATTGATATTGAAACACATTAATAAGCAAAGGGACAAAACACACAAAATAACCCAGAAAAAGAAATACATAAAACAACCATAAAATGTATATCTGTAGATATACTCAACGTTGACATTTTTGGGCTCCCAAAAGGCAATTTTTAGCTTGTTTTTAAATGAGATGAGAATTGAAAGGTCTGTTATGTTACTCAAAATCTTATTTCAAGTGTGATAAAAAACAATAGCTTGAGCCAAAGCAGTTTGAGGATTTATCAGAGTTGATGATCTGCAGCCCAGCTTTACAATGAACAGATTTTTAGAAACATGGATGAAGTTCTAGTGGGTCCACAGTTGGTTGACAGCTGCAGGTCGAATGGCAGAATTCTACAAAATGGAAATCAGAACTGCATCATACCAAGGTCATTTGTGCCTGCAGCAGATCTACTGCACAAAGTGGATCACTTTAAACTCACCCCAATGCATGCTTATGCAAATTCTATTTGATCAAGTGTCTAATTTGAGCTTTTTATTCAAAATTTTTATTCTATATCCTTGTTATGCCGTCTGTATTATTGCAATGTTTGCATTGTGATATATATGAGATGTGCAATGTTGGCAGGATAACAAAGTTTACCTTGACCATGACCTTGAAACTCAACTTAAAACCTGTTACAGTTGTATAAGTTTTCTTTCATGTCGCAACCAAACTCTGATGTATTTTAATGGGACTTTATGTAACAGAGTTTAATAATAGGCAACATTTTCACAAATAAAAATCTAAAAAAAACATGATGTTCAGATTCAGCCTTGCCAGAATAAATCTGTCCACCTCTGTGTAATTTAATCTCATTAGGATATGTGTTAGAAACACTTCAAATGCACACAAGTATTGGACAGTTTTTTATAAAACATATTCTACTACTACTAGTCGTAATAGGAATAATATTAAAAAGGGGGATGGAGTCGCCCTGAGGAGCTGTTTTCACTGGCGGCCACAGACCTCATGGTAGATCTGGTTTCTCCAAGCCTTTGTCTCAGTTTAGCATTTTCTCAGAAGAACTTTCACAGCATTTAAAATGTCGCCCCTTTGAATCATGGAGCCTATTATTTATGTCTGTTAAAACATTTTTGCATGGAGAGCAGAACATTTGCAAAAGATCAAACTGGAAAGATTTAGAACACCAGTAAGAACAGGTAAAAAAAAAAAATGAACCGAGAGAAATGAGAGGCAGCAGCAAACAGGACAGAGGATAATAGTCTGACAGATTAAACAGCCTAAGTTGTTTTTGATTGGTGCTTTAAGTGATGGAAACTGTTGGGGATTAGCAGCTACAGAGTAGGCCAAGCAAGACACCAGAGGGAAATGGGGAGGAGGGCAGAAGTAAATGGTAGATGGATGAACTTATGCAGCTGTTTTCCAGTCATACTGACCACTCTAAGTACTTGACACCAGAGCCACTCATTTTAACACATTTATACACTTTCGTGTAAGTGGGAGTAAGTGTCTTGGCCAGGGGCACATTGATGTGTGACAGGAGGAAACTGGAAAGTGATTACTCTACTGAGCCGCAGTCGACCAGCAGAAATGGAGATAAGCAGAGAGGGAACCGGAAAACACGAGAGGAAAGAGGAACTTAGATGATACTAAAAGGGAAGGAAAGAATATGGATGTAAGCGAGAGGGAATGGCAACTAAAACTAAAGCAGGAAAAGCATCAGTAGAATGTGTGATAATCTGTTTTTACTGGTTTTGATTGCCGGTTTGGTGACTTTACTAAAACCAACACCAGACTTTTGGATTTCATTTGGTTCCCATTTTGCCCATGTTCAACACCTAGCCAAGTGTGAAAGCGCCCCCAAGTGGACAAATAAAGATCAACTCAAGTAACGGAGAACTAGTTTGAGATGCTCCGACTGAACAGCACCGTGAGATGACCTTGATCTTCATCAGCATAGACAGAGTGTTGGCACAGTGCAACATGATATTAAGAAATGTTATAATTGGTTTATTACAGCATTCATGATGATTCTGTACCTGTGATGTGGAGTTCAAATATCCCAGAGGGTACTGGAAACTCAGAGGCTATTTTGAACATTCTAGTTAATTAACTATAAAAGCACTTTCTATATTTGAAGTCATTTCTTAAGATTTTCTCTGTGTTGCTCCTCTTCATGTCTTCGCTCCTGTTATTTGTTATTTCGCGTTTTACCTGAAGTACAGTGCGTTCCAAAGGATTTTATTCCAGTCATTAACGTGTTTCTGTTGTTTCCCGAGGCTGAGAGGGACAGCTGTTATTTCAACTTCAGAATAAAACCAAAGTACAAACATGTCACTTTTGAGTTAGGAAGTATAGAAATGATAAAACTAATGGTTGATGACAAGGAGATAAAAAGCTTCATTTCTGCGAAATCCACAAAATTAAGGGGAAAAAAACCAAACATCGTTCCACAGTGCTTTCTTGCTAGCCGTGTTGTTTTCACTCCAGCGCGTCTGTAAAACCAGTGAATACAACCCTGGGCTTACCCAGGACAGACAGACACGGCTTTTTAATTACCTTCCTCGCTGAAAACACTGGCAGAATCACAGCATCTGCCCACACTTAAGGGGCACTCTGAGGGTGGCTATGGGTAGATAATTACCCTTAATGAAGCTTAAATGTTCCTTGAGCCTAAGTAAATACATTAAGCTAGAGCAAGTCTTGAAATGAAAAAGTCTGCAATGAAGAAAGGAAGGACTGATCAACTCAAGTCAGTCCTCTCAAAGTTTCAATATCATCCAAGTTATGTTTCTGTCACCATTCAGTCAACTAAGGACAGACTTTGTTCTATAAAATAGATAGTGAAGTGAGTTTGTTAAAAGAATGAGTGATGTTCATACATAAAGACGACTATCAGTCGTAATCAGAGGCCCTCAGACAAAAAAATATGTAAGACATGTAGTGTGGAGAGAATAAGTATTTCATACAGAATTGATTTTTCAAGTTTTCCCCACTTATAAAGAATGGAGAAATCTGTCAGTTTCATAAGGAGTACACCTCAACTGTTTAAGACAGAATATACAAAGATTAAGCAAAATGATATTATATTGTTTTAGCATTTTACTGCATGTATTAATTATTTAATCACCAACCAACATGAATTCTGCCTCTTACAGATCTGTTAGGTCGTCTTTAAGAAGCTCTCTTATCCTTCACTCATTACCTGGATTATTATAATTTGGGATTTTCATCGTAGTTTAGTTTTGTTAACTTTGGGAAATTTGCACACAAACAGGGGGAAAGTAGAAATTCTAATTTGAAGGTGAGTTTTGAGTTTATACATTTCATTGTTGATTCAATTTCAAAACTATAGTCACAGAAAAAAGCCAGTCATGCGTCACATTCACTTTAAAAAAAGAAATGATTAGTTTCCCTTATCGCTACCATTACATCTATACTTAAAAAGTTTTATTAGGTCTGAGTTACATATAGTGAAATATTGGTATTAGAGTGGAATTATGTGATTTCTCTCTGACTGTAAGATGTTTCTGTGTCAGTTAATCAAATGGCTTCATCCACTAACTGCTGATGTAGGAGAGGTTATGAATCAAACACTTTTACTGTTATGAGTTTAATAGTTAGTCAGTAAAATAAAACAATGAGTGATGAAATCAGTGTGTGCACATGAACGGGCTCATTCATGCTTTTTTTTTTTTTTTTTTTTTAACCAAGAAACATCTGGAAGGCCGAAGGCAATGTGGAATTTTAATGAGGACGTCCTTAATTAAAGGAAAGACATTTCATACTAGACTGAATCCGGACAGTGTGTTGGAGCAAAAATTCAAAACGTAAATAATTTCATAAGTGGTCAGAATGTGAAATATTCCGTGAATAAGATGCTATGAAGAACGCCCTCGCTTCCAAATTTGTCTCAATGCATCAGAAATGTTTTGGAGTGGTTAATGAGCGAGGTTTTCTTTCTAGTCAACATTTGGGGAAAAAAAATGAAAAGACAGAAAATGTGAGATTAAACAAAAACAAATCAGGAATCAAATTCTTCTCACTTCGGCCCCATGCAGACTCCCGAATTGGAATGTGCACCTAATACAAATAGAGAAGAAATTGTGTAAAGCTAAGAAAATCTGAGCAGTTTTTTGCAAATATTTACAGAGAAAAGCAATTAAATGGAAAAGATTTGCAGAAACCCGAACCTCCACAAATAATTGGGGACAGTGCATGGGGATCTGGTTCTGTTGGAGAGTGTTGGTTTTCTTTGCAGGGTGTTGTCAGTGGAGAGGACAGACATCAGGCTGAGAAGATGTATGTATTTACTCGGGTATTGAATGACCGCAGCACAGAAACAAACACTCCGTGGCTGCATGTGGGCTGAAGGAAAACTCTCCGTTTTGCATAACAATGATGAGAGGCTGAGCTGCAGCTCCTCTGAACAGCTCCATGCATTACTGTCTCATTTAACTCGGCCTGCTCACCACACAGCTGCTGACTCTTGGTTGTGTTGAAGACTCGTAGAGATACGTGTGTAGAAACGGCTTAAATCTGACTTTTTTTTTCTCATAATGATTTCATATTGCACTCTATTTAA